GAGAGGCCGGAGGAAAGGCTTGTCGCTCAGTTCTTTCGTGTGCCGCTTGCCCGCATCGACATCCACCGATGCCGTTAGTTGGCACCCACACAGCCAACACAGCGGACAGGCGGCGGCCCCTGGAAAACCGCTATTCTAGGCCAGTCACATGGACAGAAGAAAAAAAGTACTATTTCCTCAAAGTTAGGAAAATATTTTTCTCCTATATAAACCAGTAACTTTTTTGTAACACAGTGAGATTTGTGTGACTGGCAGAGAGGGAAGTGGGAGAGAGCAAGAGAAACAGAGGGGGCTGCCCACTTCGTTGCCGGTGGGCACGCCGCCCTGGCCCCAGGCCTGCGCTGCCGCCCCACGGGATGTGCTCCCGTCTGCTGAAGGTCCAGCCGCCGCCTCCTGACCCTCAGAGCCCAGGTCAAGCCCTGCCTCCTCCATCAGGCCTGCCTCCTCTGAGACCAGTGCCTGGGGGTTTCCTTTGCTGGCAAAGTTCCAAAAGCTCTCACCAGCCACAGCAGACACGATGGCATGGGCCGGTCTTCACTGGGCCTCCCTAAGCCCTGGGCTGCCCTCCACGCTGACCAGTGGCAAGGCCAGTCCTCTAATTCCACAGCCTGCGCAGCCAAGCACACGGCAGGCCTGACGGACGGGCTCCTGGGGCCGCCCTGAGTGGATGGTATTACCAGACAGCCTTTCAATCTGAAGCACATTTCCACCACCATGTGTCCACTCAACAGGTATCTCTAGAACACCTGCTAAGACAGAGCCCCAGGTCAGGTAAAAATAAAAAATAAAAAAAGCCTCTGAGCTCAAGGAACTCCCACTTTAACAGGGGAGCCAGTGACTAAACAGTCGAGAGTGCCATGGTGAGCGCGGTGCTGACCGCGCCAAGGGGGACGTCCATCCCGCCGCACAGGGGCACCTCAGAGATTCCTGCGGGGGCTGCAGCCGCCCCACCTGGAAGAATGGCCTCGAGCTGGCAGGCAGAGCGTCGGGCTCACCTCACCAACACTCTCCCAGGATGTCCCCTTACTCCCCTGCAGTATCTGCTCCAACGATACAGGACATTTAATATTAGCCTAAGAATAATACAGTCACACAGATAATACTGCTCAAAAATAGTCAGAGGATGCACTTCAAAGTAGAAGCTGTACTTCGGACTCCAGCAGGGGATGACCTGGCTGCCACCTCCCTCTCGGGTCGTCTCTGACACCCTTGTCCCCGCCTTGGCTGCCCTGAGCGTCACCTGGCTTTATGCCCACATGCCTCGGCCAGGAGGCTCTCGTCCATCCTGTTGCATCACTGAACCAGTCCTCCCCCAGGTCCGAGAAACGCCTCCTGCCGCCCTTTGCCTGCCCTCACCTGAGCTGAGCTCACCTTGCCTGCGTCACTGAACCGCCTTTCCTGCCAGACAGGAGCAGCTGGAGAGAGCGACTAGCTAGGACGCGCTCACCCTTCCACCGCAGGACCCAGCACAGTGCTGGGCACGCAACTGGCCCTCAGTGATGCGTGCCCGCTCCGCGAATTAAGAAAATGAAGGGTAAGCGTGTGCCCCAAGACTAGATGGGCTGTAAGAGAAGCCAACAGAGAAAGAACATACTTTCTCTCTCATGCTTTCTATGAAATGTCAAAACCTTTTCCCAACCTCAAACATTTATATCCTACTTTAAGAGGCAACTGAAGCTGTAGGTCAGTCTTTGAAAGGCCTAAGGAAAAACTATTATCCTACAAAATTCACACTGGCCCTGCCTGTATCTCAAAGCTACCTTGCTACTTGTCTCTCTGGGAGGAAAGAAGAAAAGCCAGCTTGGAACGAATCAATCAAAAGCATTTATCAGGACTTTCCGTTCGGGACTGTGCTGGGCGCCACACATACGAGGTGCTGATTCCTGCTTCAAAGTCGGGCAAGAAGAAACCAGAACGAGAGGCACAGAATGTCCACTTTCCTCTCGAATTCCGGCCTGGCCTTTCCTGACTCCCACCAGACTTCCTTCTGAGCCCTGACTACAGCGGTTTATCCTCACACCAGGGGACGCCAACCTTCCCCAGCAACCTCCTGCCACCTTCACAAAGCCTCCTCTGACATCTCTCGCCCACATTAATTTTTCTCTTTTCTCTATTCTTGTGGAATTTTCTTGTCTGTATAATTTTGGCATTAAAGTACAATGTCTTATATTATTATCTGTTTCTTAAGAGTTTATCTTCTCTGCCCCTGAGAGCCTGTAAGAGTCTTAAAGACCATGTTTCGAATCCTGCCACACTGTTCTGAGCATACAGCAGGTGCTTAATAACACGGATGAATTGAACATTCTGGTAGGTTCCATGTTCTATGTGTGGACACCGGCATTTACTAACATCTCAAGTCCAACCATATTCACTGAAGAGCAGGGATGTCAAAAGCGGCACCGAGGGGGACACCCAGCCCCAGCAGGACGCGCGGCAAGCCCAGAGGTGACAATCCAGGAGCACCGGGCTCCCCGCCACGGCTCGGGAAGAGCTACCTTTCCCCAAGACAGGAGCATCTGGGGCTGAGCCCAGAAAATCCCGCTTTCTGGACTTGGGCTCAGAGAGAGGATGTCCTTAAAAAGTCAAGACACGAGAAGGGAAGGGCTGCCTGAGCTCCAGATGCGACGCCGGCAGGAACACGCAGGAACGGAGGCCATAAATCCCGCCGGGACACACACAATGCCTCAGCGATAAGCACGCAGATTGCACACCTAGTTCAGAAACTCCCCTGAGTTTGCTTGTAATTAAGGGGGTTAGAAAGGTAAAAAAAATATATAAACCCAATTAATCATTTAAATATTTAAAGTCAGAGTTTTCCCTCACTCCAGGATTAGTGCATTTCATAACGCCAGCGCAGACAGCCCTGGTTTTACTGGGGTTCATTTCAGAGCGTGTTTAAACTCGTCAGGTTGAGTGATGCTTCCAGCAACTAATCGCATGTCAAATAAAAGATATTTTATGTAATAAATTACCGCTACAAGTAATTCAAATGTCATTTATCAGTTTTATTATCAGTCAGGCAAAGTCTTCTTTCTCTATATTAATCAAAATCAAGCTTTTTTTTTTTTGGAGCGGTTTTGACACCTCTTGGCAAAAGTACAGAAGCGAAGAGGTAAAGCCAGCCCAGAGCTGAAGGGAGCGGGCAGCGGCACAAGAAGAATGACACTCACCGGCGACAACTAAAAACTGCAGGTGTTTAAAACTGCCATTACCATTGTTTTTATACTAGCGTCAGCGCCGCAAGGAGTCTGTCTCTAAGAAGATGTATTTTATTTTTAGGGCTGGGAGACTCTTAAAAATACTCCTACCTAAATACCTAACCGGGTAATGCTTTTTCTCAGAGAGATCTGGACAGAGGATGATTTAAATGGCTGAACAGCCCCTCCCACCACAAGCGTTCGCCTCTTTGGGAAAGACGAGCAGTTTAACCCTCTCTGCCGACTCAGGGGAGGCGAACGCGTGATGTCTCAGGCCAGCCCTGGGACCAGCCAGAACACTCTGTTCTGAGCAAGGAGTTTTTGTGTCGCTGAGGGACCTGTTTGGTATTAAGCCATAGAGGAAACAGCTGGAATAGAACAGATGTGCGTCTCAGAAACTTCTGCACCCCAGCTGACGCTGCCCGTCCTCAACAAATCCCATTCAACGACTGGGCCAGGGACACAACTAAAGAAAACGTGCGGAGAACCGGCCTTTGGTTAAAAGGAAACACACAGTTAGTGACCCACAGCAAGCACAGTGGAGGGGAGAATGCTGGCCGGGAAGGGGGAGGAGTCCCAGGCTGACAAGTAGCTGCAGCTGACTCAGAGCCTCCACGCGGGGGTCACCACGGAGCCCCGTTCTGCTGGTCTCAGAGGTCACGCCATGTCGGTGACTTATCAGACAGGGCAACCATGGAGGACAGCAAAGTGCAGGTGTGCTCTTTGGCCTCACCCTGCCAGCCTCATCCAGAAGCCGGAGGAAAACAGGCATCCAACCGAGACCTGGGGCACACAGCGCGGGCTCTGCGCCCCGGCCTGGAGCCTGCCGGCCTCCGGCGGCTGCGCCTCCTGCTGCGGCCGGGCTGGGGCGGAGGGCAGCAAAGGGGGCCAGAGGGGACCCCCAGTCGCGTGGGGATGTTAAAACCAGTGTGGCATTTTGACTCACCCCCTTTAAAACTCTGGTATCTAACACTGTTTTAAATCATGTTTTGAAAAAATACAGCTGAGATAGACAATTAAAGAAACGGCATTTTGAAAGACAACTGATCCAAGGATGAGTTAAAGACATCAAAACCGAGCTATTTTCCATTGCTTTGGGGTCCATTTTGACCTTTTTAGATTTTGTAAAAGTGATTTAAAGAAGGGGTCCTGGCTGTATTTTGGAGGTATAAATTTATTACTAGTGTGCAGAACCGTGAGTCCTAAAGCAGCTCTTATTTAAAAACAAGAAAACCTCCTGCGGGCCATGGTCTCGTGTAATAATTACACACGACATTCCAAAGGGCCTTTACACGTCATCTGAAAGGCACCAGCACTGCCACCACAGAAACACACATGGTGCAGCCCGGACAGGGCAGCAGGGCGGGAGGGGGCGTCTCAATCTACTAACATTAACTTTAAAAATAAAACTAGGAGGCAAGTTATTTCAGCAAGCAAACAAAAATGCACTCATGAATCCAAAGTTCATGGTCGTTCGTCTTAGTGACGCCGTAGTAACGTGCAAAAGCACCGCTATAAGAGAAGGGAAACTGGTACTTTCATAGATTCTTGCTTGTAACTACAATACCTGACACAACACATTAATAAACTCATTTATTCTCGTCTCTTCTTCAGCCTTTGTCACACACTTCAAAGTCTGTCTAGAAGAAGACTTGGGTGTGTCACATTCTTCTGGAAATAACCCAGAGCTACTCTTCCCAGTGCTTCCCCGCTAGCTGAGGCCAGGGGGCCGGGGGCGCTGCTCTTGGCCACTGTTCTGAATCCCGATCAAGGTGAACACAGGCAGTGGGGCGGGTGACTTACTGTATGGCTGAGAAATGAGGTGAGGGGGCTGGACGGGAACCACCTGTGTGGCGGGGCCCAAGGACGGAGGCTCCTCCGCTGCCGTGCCCGACTGCTGGAACGCCACGTCGATCTCTTCATCTGTCAGCCCTGCAGGAGAAGAGCACATGGCCGCAGGTGAGTGCATGCCTCCGCCGCTGTCCACGGCCACTGCCACGGAAGCTTCATTGGGAAAAGGCCCGCTGAGCCACAGGATGCTTGGCATCCTGGGAAGCCGCCTCCCGATTTCGGATTCTCTGGAACCTCTCTCAGTTGCAATTTAACCTTAAGCGACAGAATATTAGCCTCCACACTGCTTCCAAATGTGGCTCATTCAATTTCCTTAATTTATCCTTGAGTTTATTGCTGCTTTTGAAGTCGCTCCGTACTGCAATTCTCCATTCTTCCCCCGAAAACAGATACCATCAACTGCAAATGTGGCTCATTTTAATCTGTAATGGTGTTAAAAAAAGAGGGGAAAAAACTAACAATAATGCATGAAAACAGACAGGGAAACAAAAAACTAATTATTGGGTGAGACGACTAATTAGTCTAGATCGTTTCCAAAGACGGGAATAATTTGCTTTATTTTATGACAAATGCAGAAATAAAAAGAAAAATCAGGACTGACTGTGATTAGTATGAATGGGATATGGAATGTAAAGAAGAAAATAAAACAAGAAAACAGATCAAAACAAGGCCAGGCCCAAACTTTCAGATGATTATTACTCTAGCCTATCACAGGCTGCCTATATCGCCTTTGGCTAGTTTTTCTTTCTTCCCTTTTTTTTTTTTTTTTTTTAAATCTTCCTGCCACTCTAAACCACACTGCACACGGCACATCAGGAAATAGCAGGGCGCCATCTGCAGTGGCTACAACATGTGGAGGGGAATTGCCCACGGAGGAGTAACAGGCACGTGAAAGACCCATGAAGACCCCATTTCCAGGGGGCACACAGCTGGAAGGCTTTCTGAGCAGCCTGGGGCCGTTGGCTCTGTGGGAAGAGGGCAAGGGCACCAACCGTGCGGCACAGGTGTGAGAAGAGCTTTCCCACGGGGCCAGCTCGGAAGTAGTGGTGTGCATGTAAACGTGCTCTAGCTGTTGAGGGTGGGGAAGGCAGGTGGGAGGTCGCTGCTGGTCTGCAAAAGACCACTCTGGCCAGCCCGTGCTGTTCCGGGAATCCCAATATCCAGTCCAGCTGCAACACAGAGCTTTCAAAGTAGAGCCAGGAGCCTTCCCACATCTGGCGGGCAGCGCTTCATTAGAGGCCCACAGCATGGTGTATCTGCCCCTGGGGTCAGCGAAGGGAGCACAGGAGGTTCTGAGGGTCAGCGTCTTCTGAAGCCTGGTGCCGCACGCTCTGCACCGAGGGGCTACTAGATGCAGCACAGTGCTGCTCCAAAGCACAGCACGGCCCTGCCTCACACCGGCGGGAGTGGGCTGCAACTGTCCTGCAAACTTTCCTAGGAAAATGCCTGAACTGTTCTAAATGGCCCCAGACCCCAGTCAGGCAGCTCAGTTGGTCAGAGCATTGTCCTGATACACCAGGGTTGTGGGTTTGATCTCCACTCAGGACATTGACAGAAATCAGCCAATGAACACATGAATGAGTGGAACAGCAAACTGATGTCTGTCTGTCTGTCTCTCTCTCAAATCAATTTAAAAACAAAAACAAAAAACCCAGGGTCCTGAATCCCTTCTCCTCTCTGTGCTGGGCACTTGGGGTGTAGCCCCGGCCCCGCCCACAGGGGCGCTGGCCGGTGGCCAGGCCAGGCCACGCCCCTGTGAAGCTGAGCGCTGCAGGGTCGGCTCTGGGCACACCAGGCCCTGGCAGACTGACGGGCAGGTGGAAAGGCTGCCAGAGAGGGGCATGTGCTGGCCCTTGGCACCTCCAAAGAACAAAGGCTAAATCTGAGTGTGTGCGACAAAATGAGGCACCCCCCTCCTCTGAAATCCCCCAGTTTGCTGCGAAGGGGGTTGTTCTGTCATCTCACCTCCCAAGAACAGGGGCAGGACAGACAGGAGCCAGGGAGAAACAGAGAACACGTCTCCTCCTAAACAGGAAGGGAAATCCCTTTCAGGGTCCTAGCAGAAAAACGCTGCTTTAACCAGTCCTCAGTCAGCCATCAGAGAAGAGAGCGGCACATGCGACATCAGCACAACTGATGGTCACTAGGTCACCACGGAATTTTATAAACCTGGTGGTTCGTGTGCCTTGTCAGCCGCTGGCTGCAAATGAGGGTAATTTTCCCAAAAGGAGCATTCAGTTGCATTCTCATTTTCCCTTTTGGCTCTTTCAAATATAAACAAGTACGATAATGTTTAACGCTGGGGAAATATGCAGTAAGTTACAGGCTGGGCTGCGGCCCTGAGAGCCGGAGCCGGTGAAAGGGACAGGACCCCCTGCCCGCTGCTCTGCCCCCTGGCCCTGAGCTCTGACAAAGCCTACTTTCCTCATAAAACATGTTCCTTGCATTATTGCAGCCGAGCCCACGAGCGAGTCCGCGGTTTAAAGGGCATCAGCACATCCTCCCGAGCTCATGTTTTTCAGAGACCTTATCATCTGATGCTCTAAATTTACATTGGCTGGAATTCTGATATCCCTAGACCTCTGGAGAGTCAGGATTTTGATTTAGTTACATAAAGTGAATCATTTTTCTTCTCTTCAAAAAATAAACATTTTAATGACCTCACTGAATAATATAATTTCAGAGCTGGACCATTATCCCAGTCATTGCCTTCATTTAACAGATTAAAAAAACTGGGCCCAAGGAGGATGAAAAACCCGCCTCCAAGCACCGTAGTTAAGGGCCCGGCGCTGCCGAGGACAGACAACCCGGGGCTCTCCATCGCCAGCCTCCTGGCTCCCCGCAGCACAGCTATAAAGCACCGAAGGGCCGGCTGCGAAAGTAAGCCTTAAGTCTTCAATCTTTTGAAAGAGGTTTAGAAAAGGACTAAACCTCTTTCCCCCCATCCCTACGCGGCGCCCCAGCCACAGGTAAGAGCCCATGGATGCTGTTTCTGGGCTGTATCAAAACAACACCAGCACCTAACCCCCAGCTCCTACCTGTGAGCGACACCTGGACAACTTTTTGTATACCACCAGAGTGACAAGGGTAGAGTGACCACATCTCATTCCAAGATTCTACGCGCCCCCCGCCCCACATCCAAAGGCCTCTCCCAGGCCGGCGCCTAGGCCTCACAGCGCCGTCTTCTTCTGGCCTGTCCCCAGCTTAGGGAAGACTGACCAGGTTCAGGGCTCTACAGGTGAGTCTCTCAGGTAATCCAGCTCGGACTTTTGGAGACTGGGCTGAGGGGGGACCGGGGGGGCCGGGAGCAGTCCTCTCTCTCAGAACACAGCTGTCACCTACCCAGTCCTGGGCTCCTGGTGCTGAACCACCCCGGCCTCCTGCCACAAAACCGTATGTGGCACCTCCAGGTGCCACCCAGACACGCTGAGAGAAACCCTGGAGAGCTTAGAAGGAGGCCTTGCAGAATCCAAAAGGTTAAAAGGAATAATAAAGGAGTCTGCCAATTGTAAGTGAATTATATTTGGCTCTGAAAGCTGAGGCACGGGCTATATTATAAAAGGCATCTCTTTGCGTTGTTTACCATCACCCTGACTAATGCAGACCTTTTTTTTTTTGTTTTAAATAATCTCATGCAAATTAGACACACAACTTCCTTCCAGTTGATTGCTATCTGCAAGGAATAATCTAACCGCCCAGGGACTGAGCACGGGCTGAGCGGAGCAGAGACAGAGCAGAGGGTGCCACAGCCTGGCGGGCAGAACTCCTCCCCTCCTGTCGGCCTCACGTCTTCCTTCCGCTGCTGCCACGGCGAGAACTAGCCAATTTTAATAACACCTGAAGTTTTTCCAGTTGGGGTGTCACTGCGCTATATCTGGTATCACTAGCTCTGTGCATCTAGGGGCTCATTCAGCAACTTCCCCTCTGCTGCTGGGCGATTCCCAGAGCCACCAGCCCCGTCCCCCATCTGTGAACACTGACAGCTCAAACATGTGACTGACAGAGAAGACAACTAAGGAGGTCCTGCCCAGTTATCCCGCCCACTCGTTAGCTTTAGTCAGGAGGGAGGGAAAGGGACCGGATGTCCAAGGTGCGCGGGAGGTGCGGGATGCCAGGCTCTGAGAGGCGGTCGGTCGTTCTGCCGGAGGCCACAGCCGCCTGGCCTGCGAAGCTGAAGCTGAAGCCGAAGCCGAGGGTGCTCCACTCAGACCCGCCCTGCAAATGAAGCCCGGCCGGGAACCAGCACCGGCCTTTGATCTCTCAGTGTCCCTGGAATCCACTTCCAAAACCAGCTCCCGGCCGGGAGCCTCCCGCAGCCCTGTGCAGAAGCCAATAGCCTTCTTTTCCAATGCTTTCTCCAGGACCAGGTCCTTTTAGAAGAGCAGACAAGCGAGCTGCACCCTGCTGACCACTAAAGGGAAACAGCCTCCAGGTCGCCACTCCTACTTATTTTTATCCCTCAGAAGACAAACAAATGTGCTTCCTTTTTCTAAAGGTTTGGTTAAAATGCAAACAAACCCAAACCAGTGGACTTTGTGAGCTGCAGCGATGCACGGTCCTTTCCCAGGACTCAGACAAAACGAGGCACGGGGGAGGGCTGACTTTCCTCTGTGGGACTGGCTGTGCAAGGGCTTCTCAGAACAAGCAGCCTCAACGCTGTCCCCAGTGACCACACAGCACTGCCACCGGGCCTGGCCCCACACAGGTGAAGCAGAAAGGCAGGTGGCAGCGGACAGCAATGTTCTCTGCACCTCTCAGGCCAGACAGCAACCAGGCAACAACCAGGACAGCAGGGGCAGAAAGAGCTGGGAAGTAAGCAAGATAATGAACACCTGACAGCACCTCCCAGCCCGGCCTGAGGTTTAGTAGAGAACAGGGTGGGGGGCCAGGGCCAAAGAGCGGCAGCTCTGGGCAGGCCACTCAGGCCAGCTTCCTCCCCATCACAGTCCCTCTGTGCGCAGGACACGGATGATCCATCCGGGACTCGCAGAGACCAAGCAGGGGTCACCTCCCTCCGAACAACGAGTTATCTACCTGTGCACACTTGGAAGGAGACGAGGCAGAGAGGACAGCTGGCTAAA